TGGTGATTTAAAAATTAACGCTCGCAGCTCGTATTAAAAGGCCGGAGAGCAGGCGAGTCGAGGCGATGCCGGCGGTGCACCGCCTGGCGCTGCGTTAGGAATAGTCACTTTGATGTGGCATGCTTATTATAAAGTTTCTCATATAAATTTATCCTTGGGCAAGTTTTGCGTGTATGCGTATGTAATTATAGATTTTCTCTTTCGCAGCACGTATAATTGCGTTTATCTTATATATTAAGAATTCTCATGCACTCGAGACGTAGAGTTCTTATAAACTCGTTTACGAAAAGAGTTGAGGTAAGACGACTGGAGAGGAAGTCAGAGAGGAAGAGAAAAAGCGTACGCTGCCTTCGTTAATATTGCATTATCGGATTTGCGCATCCTAATTATTTTATCATCTTCAAGACGACGTGTAATGCTTGAAAAACGTCGTTCGCCTTGTCGGGCGTGTGCGCTGCATACATATCGATCGTGTAGGTGCTTGTAACCTTTTCTTTCATCTTTATTGCTCGATGATCTCTTACCTCTCAAAGCTCTACCGAGACCTTTTTTCCCATTATTTTTTATTCATTTTAATATTCATTGTCTTGGTATACTTCATTAAACTTTATAAATCTAAAATTTACTTACAATCCAATTCATGCTAAAATTAATAATATCGAAATGAAATTTCCAAGTACTCTTCAGCCTCGATCACAATTACTCCGTCAGCAAGTGCAACTCCCGCATCGTCGCAAAATGGTGTATTTCAATTGTCGTAGCAGTAGTGGAAAAAGTGAGAGTTGAGAGGCGACCATTGAGTCGCCCCAGAGCCGTAGCAGCACGCAGGGGCTTGACCGACTCTATATACGCGATTAGTCCTCGGAGACTCAGTTTGGCACGTATCCTGCACTGCCACGCGTATTATATACGTGACATTTATGGATAAGCTTATAGTTTGAAGCCCGAAAAATTAATCATGCTTGCGCTGCGCTTTATTATGTCGCTTCAATGGTCATGAACTCTCTGCTTGAAGTACCCGTGACAAATAAATATTTAATCGAACAAAAAGTAGCGTGACAACGATTGATGCTTCTGCAGTAATTTGGAGCCGAGATCCGCTGCGATAACCGCAAACACACGCAGAGACACGTGTTCAAACGTCAGTCGGGAACGTTTATGGCGACCGCACGAGCTTACTAGTCTCTACACGGAGCCGTTGATGCGTTCCCGACGAAATTTCACATGCGAAGATACGTCGTCGACCGTAGCTGGCGAATATGTCAGCCTGAAACGTGTAACGTCCCTCGATTCTTACATCACGTTCGACGGCTATATAAAAATGTTCCATAGTAGTGTCGGTAAATTTTCCATCGACAAAAGGACTTGTTTACTCTCTCTTTCTCTTTTGCTCTCCGTCTCGATACCTCTCGCTACCTCTCACTACTTCTCGCTACCTCTCAGTCTTTCTTGCTTTCAATCGCATCAAAGCTGCTGCTCCCTTTATTCGCAATTGTGCTCCGGCTGATCTTAACGGACTTGGCAGGCCTTGCCAGCATAATCGAGCACTGAGAACGCTTGGTCAGCATGAAGCTCTTTCTCCGTTTACGGCGCGGCGCACAAAGGCCTGTCGCTCGCTCTCCAATGTTTCGAGATCTTCAAAGCCGTTGGCAAAAAAACGATCTCCTGTACGTATATATATATACGAGCAAATATACATTTGTGTGCTTTTTTACAACGTACTTTCCGTACATGTAGATGGGCTAGATTTTGCGATGATCTTCGTTGTCGATTTATTACAAGGATAGGATCGCTTCTAAAGGTCATGTGCAGCTGACTCTGCTATGATACTGCGATATATTTTTTTTATATTCAGTTTTTGTTCGCTGCAGCTCTAAATAGATGCCATTTCACTTATGCTACATAGTATGGCTACATAGAGTGTCAAATATTTTATGTCGGATAACAAGAAAACAGTCGGATGAGAGGGTTAAACTCGCACTCGTCGCATCGGATTCTCTCCCGATCGATTTGCGTACGAGGCTAAAAGCGCTCAGACCATGAGTCTGGTGTATGTTTCTTTACTCCAAGTCATAACTTTGCCATGTAAGAGGAAAAATATTATCCTAGCTTTTTTCTCACCAGCTCACACACGCGTTGCTGCGTTTCAAGTAAGCATCTTTCATTCAGCCTGACCCTATACAGAAGACACCGAGCTTAAAATGTTGGTAAATATATAATATAAGATGCAGATGCCGTGTAAAGAAGCAGCAGAAGCAGCTATATAAACTGCGAAATTTATGACTACGAGCTAGCGAGCTGCGTGTGTAGACACTGGCTTCGTAAAAGGATACGCCGACGAGAGTGAGGGAAGGGCATAAGGGAAAGTCAAGAGGCAGTATAAACTTAAAATTGGATAGTTTCGCACCTTGTTTTCGTGCACCCGTTTCTACATAGTGCGCAGATACGTTTTCGTTTTAATATGAAAATTTCTTTTCTCGAGAGTAAAGTTTCGTTCGCGACGATTTTTTCTTCTTCTTTTCACACGATCTGTGTTGAGTCAATTTAGCAAAACGTCGAATGCAGCGTATCATAATCAATCTGAAACAATTTCTATTTCCTGAAATCGACCCAAGCTCTCGACTGTATATACGTGTAAGAGAAAGAGATGAGAAGAGAGAGAGAAAGGGAGAAAAAAAATTAAAAGAATAACGTGTACGACTGGCAGAAAACACTAGTATATACGTAGCGAGGGAGACGAAACATCGAAACGGTGACCTAGTTGCACATCTACGATGAATTATTGCCCTCTTACACGTCGGCGTGTCGAAGCCATTCGCAGTTTTTTAAAGCTCCACGAAGCGAGTGTGCTTTACATGCGTTTGCTTCTTTTTGCTGCTGCTGGTGCTGCCGCTGATGTTGAGCATTGTGTACGCTGCCGAGAGAAAGAGAGATAAAGCTGCATCACTTGGTGGCTTAAGCTCGATGTTTCAATTAGCAAAGTTACGCGAGATTGTGCTCAACTGTGCGCGTTGCTGTATACCGAAAGCAAAGGAAAAAAAAATTACCGTATATATTTTATGAATTTTGCTAATCCGAAGCTAAACTCAAAATCGTCGAGCGATAAATAAACTTTTTAATCTCGTTGATAATCAGCTCGTGCCTTTTTGCAGCCCACTCTGAGAATGCATAAAAGTTCGAGGATCCAAGAGAGGTGCGCGTTTAACTACCGAAGAGGCTTCCTCTCTCGGTTCTTTATTCTCCCTACGTGAGACATAACTCGGCTGCCGAGCTTTATGTATTGGAAGCAGGGACAAGCCAACGAGTGGCGGCTTTATGTACAAAACCCTGACGACTCACTTCCTGCACCCTCGTGACTATGTACGTATACAGACGAGATGATGCAATCAGCGGATATTTTCACGTGGGCCCTTTACATGCTTACGTTCGATTATGAAATACATCTTGTGATATAGAGTACATTGGCTCGACGAAAAGTGCTTCGTGCGTGGAAAAAAATGCTCTTGAATTTTTAACCTTTTCAGCGCGGCGCAGTGCCCTTTCGGTTTGTTTTTTGTCATGCGATATAAATGACAATTATTCTCGTGTTCTTAGACAAGTATTTATAAATATGAAATTACGGACAATTATTCGTTAGATATTACATCAATCCGCTTATGCGACAGCGACTTTATTTTTCGTACCGCTTCGTTTACTTTGCGTTAAATTATTACTTGTTGCATGCTCAAAGTACGGTTTGATGTAATATGCAAGGCATACGCAGGTTGAATTTATGTATTACTATTCGACGCGCAAGTGTAGTCTTGTTTACATCGCGTCGCTGTTGAAATATTCACATACATACATATAAAAATAAATTTGTTTAAACACTCATATAGACAGGACAAAATTTTACTTTTTTGGTTATATATTTTGTGTATTTATATGGCATACGTGTGAGATATATTTATAATATGTATATAACAGAAACTAAAAGCCTTTTGAACATAACAAAGGCTTGCAAAAATTTTTGAAAAAACAAACTGGATATTTTTTAAATGTTTAAGCACTATACAAAAACAAATTTGGTCAAAAAATCACATATACATATATAATATATCTAGTCAAACTGTTTTAGTATGAAAACTTCGCTGCAATTAAATATAGTGTTCTGAATTATGTACGATGAGAGTTTCAATGAATTTCAGTGTGCACATGCGTTATTAAAAAAGAAAATAGGATTGAATGTGTGAGTATATTATGTAAATGGAGTTTTCAGATGAAATTTGAGTGTATTTAAAAGTATAATTCGTCACATTATGTTATAAGAAATAATCGGATAATTTGTAGAAAGATTTTTCGTGTCTATTTTTATCACAATACGTATCACATCAGTTGACGTTGAAAAAAAATTTTGGGATGGCCGGCCAGTTTATTGACCTGCAAATTCGCTGTACCGCCGTGCTATTTCACAATGCTATCTTTGCATACTGCACTGTTATCTCATATTAACATCGTTAGTAGCTCCATATCATCCTTTGATGTATTTGCCCTTTGTTTGTGTATATGAGCGGCTACATTACAGTCTAAACTGCAGCTGTTTTTAGTTTCTGCGTGTTTGTGTTTGCAGTGTAAATGTCCAGGTGTAATCGTACACCAGTCGCATATTATGAAATTTTTGAAAGAATAGTAAAATGTGTAATTGTGGAAAATTTTGTGATATAAAAATTGTTTTAAATAATACAATGATGCTGGAGAGAGGCGTCTCGAGGTCTCGTCTTGGGGAAAGGTGTTTTTCTTTTATATAATTCCTTAGATCAACCTATCCATTCACAATAAATATCGCTCAATGCACACTTTTATCCATACTCATTAAATCGCAGATGGAGAAAATCGTGTACGCCATCGTCATTGAAATCTCAAGTGCGCGATTTATTCAAAATAATCGTCAACGACCATGAGAAGGTGTTTCGTCGAAGATACGTAATACACACGCCTTTGAATAATGTATAAAAACTTACTTATTGTAGAGCACAATATCCGGTCGCCATATGTGATCCGAAGGCACGTGCAGCATGTGCACGCCCCCGTACTCCTTCGGCTCCCAGCGAAGTTTGTAGTCGTACCAGGACTGAAAAAAATAAAAGCCATTAAATTTCGACGTCTGACAAAATCTTGACCAGCACTACTTGGGTATTTTTTGTTATTATTCTTTTTTTTTTGGGTTTCATGTCATCAATTTTCTCAATAGCCCGCATACCTGAGAAGTCAGTGAGTGGTAGGAAAAAAGCAAAATTTACGTAGACGAGGATGGTTTTTCGAGCCGAAGGCAATACGGAAGAATACTCGTAGGTATTATTGCTATACTCGAGCGACAGCGCGGCGGTGCAGAGGCAGCTCGCGAACAGCAGCAGCATCGACTTGGTTGCGTGCGATGTGTCGTGAAAGTGCTCCGGGCTGTTTTTATTGATGTCTCTCGAATCCCGAGTATATGTAAAACGCTCGCCTATATAGCTCCCTTTTCTGTTGCTGCTGCCGCTGCTTCTTTTTCTTCTTCTTTTTCTGCGCATGCACACACGTATAATATAAACACACAGTGAAAACGAGTAAACGTCTCGGGCTTCGATATATTATTGTGAATAGCTTATACATACGCGTGCGTACATATATATACGTACACACGTGAAAGCTTGAATTCAATTTACAAACTGCACGTATAGATATGGTGCGCCTGCTGTGTACTTTATTGGCACGCCGACTTTAGAAGTGAGGACAATTGAATGACACGTCGATGCATACGTTATAACGAATCTCTGATTCAAAGAAAACTTGTGCGTCGTAAGGTATAAATTTGCATAAATGTCATTATGATTATTATTATTATTTTAAAAAGCTCCGATACGTGCTTATAATTTTGAAAAAATGGATTAAATTGCAAATCTGCCCGCTGAGAAATTCGACAGCGTTTTTGCAGTACGTCGCCATTGTCTGCACCTATAAGCAGCCCTGAGAAGAAGAGAAGAGGTCTGGGCTGCTCAACCTCTTGCGTATAAATGGGTATGCCAAGCTGTATGGAATACGTTAGGAATATTTTATATGCGTTATATGAGTATATGCGAAGGACCGCCAGTATATATACTTGAAGGAAAAAGGAGACGAGTACGTAGATATTTGAAAATGTCTTATTGTAGAATACGCTCGAGTCTGTGCTCGAAAATCTTTTTCCTCGTCTCTCGACCGTGAAAATGCAGACGGTGTGTCTACACATTTGCAAAAGTTCGTCTTTGCAGAAAATACAAGCTAGGCGTTCTTATTATTACTTCAGGTTTTCGCATGTGTGTCGCTAACAGTTGACGAATTTCGAATAGAGATATAGCGAGTGCGTCTAGTCATTTGCTTAGATGAACGGGCTTCGAATACTATCGCGTCGTCAAAGAAAACGAGACATCGAGATAAGACTGGTATAGCGTCAAACGTATACGCTCGATGGACCTCTCCGCTCGGTGAAGAGGAACGATGGTACACGCTCCATCAGTGCGGCGTATCGCGTTCTAGCCTCTATCGTTACAAATACACGTAAATCCCTCTAGAATTGCAGTTACTAAAAGAAAGAGAGAGAGAGAGAGAGTAAACAGGGCGAAGGACGCCGAGGGAATGAAAGTCGAATGCGCAGTGTGGTGTATTAAAACTCCAGACTAACTTTTTCTTTTTAATGCCTGGTTGGCGTTAGTATTTTAAATCAAATTTTCATGACATGCAGTGAGATAACTTGAAATTTTTGAAACATGAAAATCGAACAAAATTTAGGATTAACTTGCGAGACAAAGTTTTTCACATGCAAACACCACTTAGCCATGTGTAAAATCAACACTTTGCGCTTGCGTTCAATATCGCAGCTAATGAATTTTCAAAAAGTTGCGCATTGCGCGAATCGCTACGTTATACATGTGTAAGCTGCTCACACGTGCATTTTTGGATGCGGGGTATTTTGTTGCTGCACGTGCCGAGCTTAATTTCAGCAGCGAGTAAACTTTGCCTTGCTGCCACCGCTGCTTCTGACTGGCGCGCTTTGAATTCAGAAGTATGTCGGGCCGCGAATTCTACCTACGAGCTGTTTCTCGCCTGACTGCTGCTAAAGCCACAAATAAGTAAGTTAATCAACGTGATTATCGTACGCCACTGCGATTGGCAAAGTGCGTTCACACTTGGCATTACATTTATTTTTTACAGTTACAGAAATAATTTTTCTTTTTTATATGATTAAAGTCGTTGTTCTCGTTGCTTTTGTAGTTTTTTATTTTATATAGTTTTTTATTCACGTTGTGCGGCGAAAATTCAATTTAGGAGACTGGACATTTTGAAAAGTTGAACATTTTTTTTCAAAACAAGACTCATTTGACAACTATTGCCTTTTCCAGAAAAAGCTCGGTGATAAGCTAGAAAACAAGTTTTTGAAGCAGGTAACGTATAATGACTTTTTTCATTTTATTTAAACTATATTGCATTCCCGCAACAAATGTTTTATGTATTTGTGTGTGCAGAGCATTATCTCAAAGTTCAAAAATCGCATCGATTTTCGATAGAAAACAAAATCATTTTTAAAATGATCCTTACCGTTTATTCGATCAAAAGAAAATATACGGTTATTTTTTTTCATTAAGGAGTCTTCAAAAAATTTCTGGAAAGCATCTGGTTTCCGGATTCATGATGGTCTCCTTGTTTGTGCTATGAAAAATTCTGCAACTTAATGCCAGATAGGAAACTGGTCTCTTGTGGGAGTGACATTTTACAAAGACCATATAACCTCGAATAGAAAAGCTTAAGTCTGTGGTTTAAGGTAGATTTTATTAGGTGAATCGAATCCTGGCCAAGCTATCGGGGATCTGCTCTAGTCCAGAGTCTAAGGACTAGTATGTTTCATTGGGCAAATGTACTCGTTCTTACAACTTCTTGTTGGCTCGCCAGTTTGGGAAGGGGATGCCGAGGTAGTAAAGCAACGGAATTATATCATTCAAAGCCGGGCGAAATAATCTTGTATTTGAAAGCGGCTGAGCAGGTGTTCAGTATTCCATACAGTGGTCGAGAAAGCCAAAATAAATCCGAGTTTATTTAATTGAGAATAACTCGGTGCTTGAAGCATTTAGGAAAGGTGATGCACTTATCTCGAGCAATATAACTTGAAACTTTTCCACGCATAAGTTGTACGCGGCACTTGTACGCGTAAATGCGTACAAGCACTTGGTTCATACGCACAATTGTCACGAGAACGAGAGCCATTTCTTTTTACTGCAGTATGGGAAGTCGCTTGTTTGCTCAATTGCAATGTCAAGAGGCAAGATCTAACGGCAAACCACAAACTGTTGTTTGCGGTATTCCAAGACCGCAGTTAAGATTTCTCTTTTGAATTCTACAAAACGCTTTTTAATCGTCCTTCGAGTGAAATTTTGGCTTTGATCCCTTTGAGAGCTTTGAAAAACTTGCAACAATTTGGGATGTTTGCCAATAAGAAGAGTCACGCTGCATAAAATGAAGAATTGTGGTGCTTACGACTTGAAAATGCAATTATGCATCAGACATCTTTCAAGTTTCATTAACGTCCACATAAGATTTTGGTGCGTGTTAAGCCGCAATTATGAAAGTCTTAATCAAGGATAAGTTTGAAAATTCACTTACCTGCTCCACCCAGAGATTTGTCGTCATTATCTGATTTTTCAAGTTCTGCAACAGAAAGAAAACAGTAATCTCGTGAATAAAGGAGAATCGTTTGTTTGAAAAACGTATAAATGTTTATTTTCATCGAGGATAACAAAAATGAGAATGTTAAAAAAAACTTCTCGGCTGTTCGCTCATTCGTACGCTACGCGAGAACAATGCTTTTCTAATTTGCGTTTCTGCGCCCCCCACCCGCGTTTTACGCCCGAGTAATTATAACTGCCAGGAATTACATCGGGAACGAAATATCATTTACCCTGGCTACACAGTGGCTATGTGTACATAGTTACGATTAAGACATTCCGAAATTCTATACAGCTTCTGTTAATTTCACTGCGAGTTCAACCCTCTATTTTATATATATAAAAATTGATTGTTTTTTTACGTTGGATTAATGTTTAATAGTCTTGTTGTGAATAAAGGTTTTTATTAAAGTGAACTTTTTTGAAAAAATCACGTCGATCCAATGGTATCTTTGAAGGCTGGGATTATTTGGAGATTGCAATGGCCATTTGAGCGTGCGGACCAAACATGAAAATATCTTGACGCAAAAGAAGTGCACCATTGTAGAAGGAATTTAGCCTCGAAATTCCTCGTTTTTCGTGTATACGTGTTTTCTACCGACAGTAGTGGTGGTGGTGGCGGCGGCGGCAGTAGAGCACAGTAATTTAAGCTAAATTACGTAAAACGAGAGAAAGAAAAAGTAGTAAAGCTCGAGAGGTAAAAAAGTTCAAGTATATACGTGTATATAGCACGCAAAAGGCTCGAGCGCGTTTTCGCCACGTCGTGTACAGCTTAATTTAATTGCCCTTATACTCTTTCTCTCGCTTGCGCCCTTATACTGGCTCGCACAGGCTTATGTTTCGCGTTGGTTTTGTTCAATAATGAATTGAGTTCGGGCCCCCGTGTATACAAACTTGCGGCTCTTCTCTTCTCGTTATACATGCAAAAACAACCACTTGCCATGAAAAATTGCAAAAATCAAGGCAAGCGCTTGATTCATCTGCGCAGCTTAATGCCACGAATGGATTTGTAAATCAGCTCTTTAGCTGGTACATGCGACCTCGTTATATTTCGTAGGTACAGTTTTGAAAACTACATAGCTGCGAGGCTTTATAAACACTTGCTATACTCATTTATACGATACAGCAGAAGCAGCGTGGCCTACTGCAAAAACATATACGCGCAACTATCGGAGAGAATGATATTTTTTGCTGTTTTTCATTTCACGTGTCCCTATTTTTTTCCCCGCGCTATCTTATGCATATCGTACGGAAGTGTGACGAAAAAGTGCATAAAAGTTAGAGTAGTTTATATACGCGACACGAATCAAAAAGACGAGCGCTCAAGACAAAAAATCAGAAAGGATGAGCATCAGACGTACCATTTTGAACATTCAGCTGCCTTTTTTACAAACGGAAGAAAATCTGAACCCTTCCAACGAAATTGACACTAATAAGCACTTCCGGGCGTACACGCATTAGTAGAATAGCGCATGGATGAGCAACGACATTTGTGTGAACAATTTTTGAGCTATCGCGTATAAACATCGTGCGTCGCGCGCAGAGGACAGAGGGCAAAAATTAATTTACTAAAAAACTGCCAAGCCATGAAACGAAAGGAAATGAAAAACAGGGAAAAAAAGGTAGTATTTTCGAGTAAATCCCGCCCAGGGCTTTTATGTCCTCCACATTTCATCATTTTTCATTCCTCACGTACGGAAGAGGCAACGTGACGATAAACTACAGGGATTTGCTTCCTCTGTATGTAGGTAGGTGTCAAAGGGGATATTACGAGCTTTCTAAGCTTCATATAATACGCCGAGGCCGAGTTGCGGTTGATAATTCAAGTAGTTACCATCAGCCAACTTGATGACCGCAGCTACGTGGAAGGGTTTAGAAGGGGATATAAAGCCAAGCTCGGCTGGGTGCAAAATTCACTAAGCGTCGCGCCGCTCGAATTTAAAAAAATACTTTTGATTTTTACGGCGCGGAGGAGAATCACGTTGGCGTTATGAGCAAGCGCGACCTTGCAGCTCGTGTAAAAGTCATTGTACGACAAAATGCAAAGCGTTTAGTTTTCCCTCTCTTTCAGTCTCATCGCAGCATCTAAGCCGAGAGCGCAAAAGGTTATATCCGTAGCCACTCGAATGCTGCAGTTCACCCGGGCGGCGATGAGTCGACCTACATTTATGCGCCGTACGCGAGAAAGAAAAAAAAATAGGTAATTTATGTAACATCGGCGTATCTCTCTCTCTCTCTCTCTCTCTCTCTCTCTCTCTCTCTCTCTCTCTCTCTTTCTGTCTCTATCGTGCAAAAATAACTTACCGAAAATACTCGGCATTTATTATCGAGGAGCTTATATAGATCGTAGAGAAAGGGGGGAAGAAAATAAACCGCAGGCTGCGCTGCGCCATGTATGTATACGTATGAGCAACGGCGTGACAAATAACGAAACGGAAAGCTCCCAAGTGCACGGACCAAAGCACAGAGCTGCCTTTTATTGAAGCGCATCGGCAATTTTATTACACAATAAGCTTTGTATATTCGAGCTCAAAGGTCAATATCGATACAATCGTACTACTGAGCGTATGGACGAACACGTTTTTGCTCTCTTTCTATCAGCCACTTTTTTTTTATTTTACCTCGTGCCTTCATTTGTTATGGAGAAGTTTTTTTCTCGTTTTTTTTTCATTCAATCCAGTAATTTATACAATATGGCGAGATTAAAAATTGGAAAGCGAATTATTTTTAATCAATGAAAGCACAACTCATCAAGCTTACGGAAGCGCAATCGATCCCGAATCGGTTCCAATATTCTTACTCGAAGCTTTTAAGATAGAACAGGATAAACTTAGCACCTCTCCAACGTACAATCCTTTCTCGTCCGTAAACTTTACCTAGACAAGGACTTTATTTTAATAATTCATAACTTTCGAAAGGTATATCGCGTCGTCGTCGTCGTCGAAGGAGGTTCCTTGCAACTTTGAGGTGGTATAAGGTGCCCTGCTGCAACGATACCGCCGCTGCTTGCACTTGAGCAAGCGAATTACCTCGTGAACTACATGGCGCTGAGGATATGGCAGGTCTCCCCCGAGAGAGAAAGCCTGTCCTATTATAACGTAGCTGACGCGTATGCTTATCGTAATCATTGGGATAGCTCGGCAGAGAGAGAGAGAGAGAGAGAGGCCAGAACAGCAGAGATATTGCCACTGTCTGAGCGTATCGAGTCGATGATTAATCGGAAGCTCGGCCCCGCCTTGTGACTTATCGTCGCAAGCTCTGCGCTCGATATCTTACGAAATTAAAGCCGATTTATTATTTCGACGGCTGCGCGGAGAGTTTATTCGATTCGCTCTTTCCCTTTCTCTCTCTTTCTCTCTCTCTTTCTCTATCCTCTAAACACAATGACTCTTTGTGTTTCAATCGTGGGTAAACAAAAAAAAAAGTTGCACACTGCGTGCTCGGGTAAAATACGACTCTCTCCCGCGCGCACCAGACTCTGTTATGATCTTTGGGGGCATGTGAATATCGAGGTTATCAGAGCACGCGTTTGCTCAATTGTTGCAAAAGGATAATGCATGATACTACGTGTATATACGCTCGCTCGAGCTCGTTGTTTGCTGGAACGTTGGACACGCGGCGGCTGCAGCGAGCGGCGCACGAGAAACTTTTTGAATTTACGTAAATTTATGGAGTTTTATGAGTGTGTGTGTGTGGGTAATGCAGCGAAGTTGAAAAAAAAAACCAACTGCTCGCTCGGATGCTTTGTGCGCGTGAGTGTCTGTATGTGGGTGTGCGTATCGTATATATCCACAATGCGCGATGCAACGTACACTGCGCGCACTACGTCGGGCGAGCGATACACGTTTGAATTATGAATTTGTAGATTATCGCTAGATAAGCCCGCGCGCGTGCATGCTGTTTTTCTCCTGTATGGTAGTTCATAAAAAAGCAAAAGGATATCGCGCGTAAATTCAATTCGATTAAAGCAATTCGGCGAAAATGGGATTTCGCGTGGAACCGAGCAACCCCTAGCAGCTTCTTCGCTCTCAGCGGGGTTTACGTAGCACAGCTAGGATATGGAGGAGCGAGAGAGGGCAAGAAAAAGCAAAATTACGGCGACATACAGTCGGCAGAACAGCTGCACACGGATCTATATTCGCCCGCTCGCGCGTTTATAGCCGTATATAGGTCACTGTATGTCCTACATAGGAAGATTAAGGAAAAACGACCGCCCCGCGCACGGCTCTCTGTGCAGCTGCAACGGTCCGGCGCTGCGAAAGAGGCAGCAACTGCACGAGGCTCCGAATATTGCCTACGTTGTATAGAGGATCGAATTTGGCTCGTTTGTCGAATCGGATAATTTCTCTCTCTCTCTCTACCTGCAGAGAGGCAACTTGTTTACACTGTTAGACATTACGGGCCGGTAATGCTTGGCATGGAAATCGCGTTAAATTCGAATCATGCGCAAGGATAATTATTCGCCTAAAGGCAATAAACAAACTACAATAAACAAAGCTCGATCGGGTGATTTTTACGCTGTACGATCGGGAGCCTATGCATGTATGCATGTGTGTGTGACTGTGTGTATAAGCATTTGCGTGTCAGTATATCAGCTTCATTTCGGGGTCGCGCGGGTGCGCATTTTGATTACGCGACGCGCTAGTTGATAATTATAACTGATGTTCGGCTACACGGTATCTATTGAAATTCTCGGCGAATAAGCAACACACGCCGCCGCTCGAGTTTAATCAGTCGCAGCAGTGCGACGGTGCGGTGAAATCGTACGCTCGCGCGACTCGGGCAAACTAATAAATAAGGGCCAACGACCTCTTGCTTATGTGTGTGTGTGTGTGGGCTCGTGTGTGCTTGTGTATATATGAGGGTATAAGCATACACGCATACTAGCCGCGTATTTATTTATCTTTTATCGCTCGTTAAAATCAATTCGCCCTGGTTATTTTGGGCAATTTTTTAATGACCCTGCAGAGCAGTGGCTATTCG